TGAAAAAGAAGTCAATGTATTACGTATAACCAGTAGCAGATATTTCACTTGTTTTCGAACGCATGGTTTCTCTTGGATGCGGTTTTACCAATGAGTTGAATATGAAATCAAGTACTTGCGATCCAGTTTGAATGATCAACTGTACTCTATGTCTATGACGTCATTATAGGCAAAACGGTTGTAGACCTTCGTGGACACTTACATCTGTGGTCAGCCTTAGCTTGCAACTGAATGGAACAGTATTTGAAAGTGAAATTCGGTAAATAGTTTAGAAAAATTCCCTCAAGGAAAGGCAAATAGTTTCGGGATAAAGTGACACTGAAAAATGGTGGAATGCCAAGTGCATATTTCCCATATGAGGCTGAGAGCATCATAAAAGATTTCGATTTCTTCCACATACGAAAAACTACATGAGCCGATGTATAAAAATTCCGCTTGAAATAAACATAATTAAAAGTGATGGGAACAAGTAACGGCATTAAAGCATTTTTCATCGATCCTATTTGTTTTGTTACAAATATCCCAATCAATTTTTCATGCCAATTAAAAACTTAAGCTATGGACGAATATTATATGCCACAGTTTGTGGAGTTTACTCACTTTTTTGAATCCCCAGCGGGTGTAACATACCTAGAGGGGTTGCACTACCGTACTACTTCCTCCCTTCTCTATCCATGACTTAGGGTACAGTTCCGAAGGGTGATCACCTCCTCTAGGCGTAAATTTTGTCTCGGTCCTGATTGATTCTCTTACCGAACACACTCCCACCCCAGTAGTGGACAACCTCTTCGAGGATGTGCGGCTAGTTCGGATCTTAAACCCAAAAACAAAAGGAAAAATTTCTTTATCTTGCTTTGGAGACAGTTTTTAAATCCACCTTTTATGAGAAGTGTGAAATGGTGCATTTAGACAGGCATGTGAAAATTGTAGGCCATTTATCTGTTTCGCAGATCTTTGGAACCAAGTAAATGCCAAAATCGCTTATCTTCTTTGAATCAAAGAGAAACGCAGATCATCAACTTAGTTTATCCTGAATCCAAAGAGCAATCACCCTCTCCCACCTGTAGGGACTTCGAAATATTCACAAACAAAGCGTCTCCTATCGTCGATTATACTTCGCCACCGATATATTGGCGGCCGAGAGACAACAACAGAACTTTAAGGTTAAAGATTGTATAAACTGAAATCGAAGCCTTATGGTAAAAACTTAGTGTGGTTAATTTCTAGTCAAGTTTGTGGTTTTTGCTCCCACTCAATACTTACCAGCATGCAATAAAACCAAACAGCAGAGTAAACCCATCTCACTCTCGTCCAGTCGCAGCGTGCGCATCACATGTCCGATCTCACACAGCTGATCTGCAAGCCGTTGTAAAGTGGGAAATTCACGCACGATGATTCTTCTCTCGGTTGAATGGAAATCGAAATAATTGTATTCCCCACTACCACCCTCGCGTTCACGAGATAACTGAAGGAGTATGATGGGAAATGTTCCTGACTGGACCAGAGTTATCATGTCCACACGAGACAGGTCACGGAAACCGGGAACTTCCCGGGCAAATCGGGTAATCTGATGCGCGTATATTTCAAAATGTTGCATTACTCGTGACCAGATCACGTCTGGGGCGCTCCATTCGTGCAGTTGTTTGGGGTTAGAAGAAATCTGAGAACGGGGTTGGTTGGAGAAGAGCAGAGAACATTGCGTTTTCACTAAATAGAAATCTGTGAACAGGACAAATAGCGATGGAACGACTCAACAAAACAGCTGCATTATCTAGCTGCTTCTTTCACGGGAATATTGACATGTGCATGAATTCGGAATGGCAGCTCTCTATACAGAATCATGAATCTTCTACATTCAGAAATAAATGAACCGTAGATTTTACATACACTGCTAGGTGCTACGGGGGTGTTCTGTTTAGAGGCAGCTGACATTCTATGAAACACTTAAGCAGAAGTGGATGTAATGAAAGACCTGCGCTCAATGGTGATCGATGCTACTCGAGGTAGTTAAGAATTGATAAGATTAGATTATATGATTGAAACTCAACCGATCACATTTAACTAAATGGGCAGTGGAGGAAGTAATTGGTGATCAGGAATATCGGGTTGATTTTTACCATTGTTATCACCTACAGATTCCTTGAGTAGGAAATTATTGATATTCCAGGACGTAATACTATCACTGAAATTTGAATACGGACGAACTAAAACAAATGATTTAACTATCTGAGGCGATTTATGCTCGCATTGAAGACAAGTATCGTCAGAAAGAGAAAACAGTTACAGAATAATCAATAACTTATTATTTTAATCGTCCATCTCTCTTTCATTTCAATGTTATGGGTAATTTAAGCGTTCCTTTAATTGTCATCCGTACAAAAATAACCTGCAACTACAAGTATCCCACCTACTTCTGTCAATAAAATTTTTAAAACAACCTACCCCTGTTTGTTTAACTAGATGATCTACTTGCAATCATTAGCAAATTCTACTTGTCCCGCGATCGACTCGGTCTACTGTGCAATGTCCCGGAGTACCTGCTTTCTTGGAGTAAATTTTCGAATGCTTTCCTGAACCCTTACTTTCAATAGACCCCGGACAGAGAGCATTCACAACCTTCTGGGCGGATGTGCGGCGATCGTTTGTTCTCAGCGATCGAGTACAACGTGCAATGGTTTGATCAACTGCATCAAAACGCAAGGGCCGATTGATTAGCATGTTTCTGCTATCTAATCAAGTTGTAGGTCGTCACCCATTCATCCAATCACCACCAATTGCTACGGAGACTGTCTGGGCACGTGTTTTTCTGAAATTTTACGGTCTATTGAGGGTCACGTTGAATTCACTCATTTGACATTGACTACTAACAATTGGGAGTAGCCATTTTAGATTATGCAAAAATATCGGCAGATTACGTGTTTAATTCTGCTCATCTGATCATTAGGTTTACCTCAAAGTAACGAAAGAAATAAAGCGTTTGTTTTTGGACATTTGAATAATGTGTCTTATGCATCAAATCTATTAAGTGCTCGATCAGCATGCACTCACTCCCAAGACTTTACGGCTTAAGAAGTTGTCTCGTTCAATGTGACCTGTGGGGACCGTCTGGTTGATTCACAAACGAATTCTCCTCCCAGGCCTACAATAAATAACACTGCTAGCTTTTATTTACTGCACCCTAACATTTCTTCATCGATTCCATCTCATCAGTTTTTGATGGATTGTGTCAGTGGTTCACATTTTCGCTAAAAAGACACCAATGCCAGAGTCAAGTTGCCAAACGCTATGAGATGTATTCGTCTTAGAGGAGAATGACAACAAATGTATAATCTATAAGTTTAACCAACAACGGAGGAGTGATATACAGTGCCAATCGCGCGCAATAGCTTCATCAATATCAGACAGAAGTTGTATATTCCAGTGAAAACAGTTCACTTAATAGTAGCTGATTTGGTAGCACAATTTCGGAAAAAATCTACAAGGTTAAATGTGTCGAAAACCGAAACGGAAGTTCGACGTGTTTTGCCTGACCGCTTTACATCATCCGGGAATCAGTGAAAAATTTGCCTTTAAAGCTCATTCTTCCGGGTGTTTTCTCGTGACGCTGATATAAATTTTCCCTGAAGCAGCTCAGTAAGTCCAAGTAACTGGGTGTTAGCCCAAAGTGATAATACATCGCATTTGTTGAAAGTGGATTGTGCCTAAAATGAACTTGATGAATAGTGTTCCGATGTACACGCGCGATCTTTTACCTCTTTATAATTTCCCAGTTATTTTATCCTGTTAGTCATCGTCAAAGGTTGGAAATGTAGTCGGATTATTCTTCCGTATTACTGAGTTTTCCACTACTGGCCTGTAATAGCGTAGGACTCTTTCCATCAATCGTTTTGGTTAGGTCTCTGTTAGGACAGCTTCCGAGACACTCCCTTTTCCCGTTCACTTTTGCTTACTCCTGTGACCCAGTTACTAGTTATAAACTACTACACAAGTGAACCAGTATTAGGTCGGCTGACTTTCATTATATTTCTGTTCTGGTACGCTTTTCATGTCACACTACGTATGAAGGAATAAAAAACAGAAAAACAACCTACTCTTGAAGGAACAAAGCGAAGACATTGAACCGCTTTCATCACTCGATCAATGAACAGAATTTCCGAGGGCATAGGATCACGCAACGCCGAATGAGAATATGGGGAATCTGTGACCGTCTCAGTTAGACCGGTGGAAGAAATAAGCGAACCCGAAGAGGTAGAATACGATAACCCGACTGGCTCATTTGGTGCATTTGGCAATTCAGAGTCACTTCTCCTGTCTGAGAGATTCGGATGCGAAGCTCCATGCATATTTGGGTGATTCAATCTGTGCCGAACGGACTGAGACACATGAGAGTTGCCCGATCCTATGCTAGTCTCACTCATGGGTTGTCGACTCGGGGATCGCATTGTTCCCTCGTCCACTGAGGTTGACATTGGTTCAACCCTAGGAAATTCCAAGGGTTTGGTTTGATTCCGATCCCTAACTTCGCTTGCCATTGGATCCATAGCTTCGTTCTGCGTTGAATGAGCAACCCAGCCTGGAAACGAAGTTTCCGTGTCCAGGTCAACTTTCTCCAACAGGGTTAATAATTTGGGTTGTGACATCCCTGATTGTGACAGGTCCGTTTGCCTCGCATTCTGCTCGGTCGATACATGGGAAGAGATGAATTCCTCGGCTTGGGGACGGGAAAATGATGATGCCGTCAAGTCAATCGTGTTCGAACTAGTAGCCGAAGGCATCGATTGTGTTTGCCTCAAATAACGCGCCACCAAAGTTGCAGGATTTTCCGGGGAAGATCGCTCATCAAAACGTTCCCCTTGGTCGTCCAGTGATTGTGATTCCATGCATGAGGGAAGGTTAGACACGGGTAATGAACTGGGAGTGGAATAACGGCTGATGGATTCCTATTTAGAAAGGGGTTAGAAAAGAAAATTGTCTAAATATTTTTCTGATTGTAAATCAAATTGAAAGAAATTCCCAATTTGTAATGCTGCTTGTTGTTACGAAACAAAACAGATAGCCGAACAGCATTACACTACCTTTGCTGTATATGAACTCGCATGTTTTGTACCAAATAATTTCTGATTTCTAAACAGAAACTTTACGCTTCCTATATTTCTTTCGTAAATTTGCAATCGGTAAATTACACATTAATTGGACAAGTCAATTCAATCAGACTATTGAACATAACTTCATTGAAAGTCGTTGTGATATAAACCACGTTGATCGAGTCAAATACCATGCATCAGCAACCGTCTCTGTCTGCATATCTGAATTAATGCAGTCCAGATCAATATAAGGAAAACAAAAACCATTTTTTTGTTTATGAACAATTTGGAAGGTTTGCTTTGCAGGTGCAGCGGAATCAATTTGAAACTCTTGTCTGAGACGTTTAGAAGGCGCTTTGGCATACATTTTGGGAACTGTCGTCAGTGTTTATCCACCGAATCCGATGAAACTCAAGTATGCAACCATCTATCAGTTCAGTTTGACGCACAGCTGCTTGCTACATTTCAACACACCAGATGGTGTTACTAAAACGTTGTTGGTTACAACCCTCCTGGGAGGTTGTGGGTTCGAATCCCTAACTTTACAGACTTTCTTTGTATCATATAAAAATAACTTTGCATGATCACTTCCCTCTTCCTGCGAATGGCTTATCTAATTATTGATTCAATAAAAAAGAAGTAAAAGAAAAGAAATAAATATCTCTGTTTCATTATCTCTAAATGTGCCGGATTTCGTCAGGCCTCCTTCGATTCTGTGAGACAAATCTTTTCTCGAGGAATACTTGCCAAGGGTTAGAGGCGATCTTTTCTGTGATTATACAGTCCCTTTGAACTGTATTCATCTAGCAAATTGGACTTCACATCTTTTGAATTCTTTGGAGTACGGATACTGACCTTATATAATAGCACAAACCAGCAAACGTAATAAAATCCTCGGGATTTTGTGTTAATGTTAGTTGCATCTCAACCGTAATATCGTATAACGTTTGCATGAATTACTGTTGTACCCACCTTCATTTACCTTTCAAAAATTTATAGGCATTGGAAAGTTCCTCAATATAACATAAATGCGTCACACTGAAGACCCCTAGGGACACCATACAGTATAGACGTTAATTAAGAGATACTTAAATGGTTGTACCGATAGATGTTCCTCTGTTCCTCTGTTCTAGGATTATTGAATGTGCTGGTTATGAATAATCATCTTTGCACATTCATCAATGCTGTAATGTCCATAGAATCCGAACAAGTATGTTTGCCAATCATATACACACATTGTCTGGTCTCCTTGGCCTGATAAATAACACTCTAAATGCACATTTCCCCATCAATTACGGCGCAGCATTACAAATCTACTTCCTGACTCACCTGATTAGTGGGCGGAATATGACGTCCAACTCGTAGCCAATCAGATGCCCATTCTGTCACGTGAGTTGCATGCCTGTCCATAGAAGTGAGTCCAGACTCCAGTTCACTGTTGTACTCCGCAACGCGCATGTGGCACTCATTAGCCACAGGATCTCTCTCTGCCAAATACGTCGATTCGTTCGTCACGTGCGGTGAAATGTGTGGTCTCATATTCGGTTCACAATGTCCCTCCGTTAATCGACATGTAGCACTGTATCGACTAAGAAATGCTTTGGGTGGGGAAAAATAGGATGTTCCCGAACTGGAACTTGGCTTGTATCGATCTGGGTTGGTTATTTTCTCCGCATCGGACCTTATTCCAGAAGGTGTACCTGTTTGAGTTACACTAGGATCTAAAAATGGAGATCCAGTAGCACGATTCATATCATCTTCATTGATGTTTACCTGAGGTGGAGTAGATTTGAATTCATACGTATCGTCAAATGCTTTCACTGGTGTGGGAAAACTTGGAGGACAAATGGTGGTGGACGATGGCGATGCAAAAGATTGATGCTGTTGATGGAGTCGAAGGTTGTGATGTTGTTGATGGGACAGATTTGGATCTAACTTGGGTTTAGTTTCGGTCAAATCCAAACCTAACGACGAACCTAGATAGGGAGACAGGGTAGCAATTGCGGTTACATTCATCGGGGTCTTCGTAGGAGTCAAACAAGAACACGAGATGTGTTCGTTTACCTTGTCAGATTGTGATGATGACATAAGAGTTCTGGTTGCAGTTTGATGAACGTCGTTTTCAGGCTGGATGGGCT